TCTGTCTCTCCATCCCACAACCCTCATCCTGTGGCCCAACGATAACCTGGAGAGGATTCAAGTCTCGAAACGCCGAATGTACGTGATTCTTCCCCCGTCCCTTGTCGTGCCCCCAGTCTGCTTGTGTCCTGTTCACGCCCGCACGAACTCCCCCCGGCTCGCCCTCTCCCCGTCCCAGCAAACTGGCTGGCCACTCCCCACGACCAGCACCTCCGTTCCGCACCCTTTGCGTCAAGCCCATTGCTGTCGCACCTAGTTGATCAGCCCATGCGCATACACGGGTGTGGACAGCTTCCTCTTCCAATCGATATACTAATTCGTCACTTTAGAATCCCTTGCAGCTCTGCTGTTCACACTAGTCTTTCGCGACTTGCCCTTTCTTTTACTTTGTTCAATTCTACCTAGTTACCCGACGTCAGGACCCCGACCTTTTCGTTCGTTCATTGACCTGTCATCAACGGCTCGGCAACCTGACCGTCATACCAAGTCGCGTTCACGTCGCACAATCACTCGTTTGAGAACTTTGGCCACTCAGAATCCATTAGTCGACCAGTGTAGAGTTTGCTGCCGGCTGCAGGTCCGCTGCATCGAAGTAGCGACCGCAGCATCCTCGTCAGCGCCCAGCGCGCACGACCAAATTTACGCCAGTCTGCAACTCTCAGCCCTCGGCGACAGTACGGGTCACGACATATGCAGCCGCAGAATACAATACCGCATGTTCCAGGCAAAACGTAGTAGACAGCCCCGCGTTCGGAAAAGCAAATCGCAGTGCTGGGGAGTACTAAATGAGTCAACCGCGCTATGGAAGAGATATGGATGGGCCACCAGTAGGAGGGTCAGCACGGAGGGCCGGAGATGGTGTACAGGCCGGCGCATCCAGAAACAATAACTACACATCGCCCATCCAGCCACAAGGCACAAGAGACCAAGGACCAAACATGTCACCGAACACATCGCCACGACGCCAGGCCGGCGCATCCAGCCCCAGTCAATCGCGAATTCCACGGCTTCAGGGACAAGCCTCGCAAGGCAGAGATGCCGGCGCTGCCGGGCTTATATCACGACCTACTCCGATCCCTCAATGGCCCTTGCCGGGTCCCATACCATCCCCGGTCACCTCGTCCGGTTCTGCGCCATACAAGCCCCCTCCGGGTCGATCGCAGCCTCCGCAGCGCCCTCCACGCCCAAGTCAAGTGCCCTCTATTCTCGACAGCTCCCGTGTGCAGGATCATACACCCGTCTTCCAGTACAATGCAAGGGATTCGACCCAGAGCCAGGACCTGTCGGGTTCCGTACCTCCCACGCCATCATCAAGGCAGACGCAATCGACGATCTCGTCTGTTGGCTCCATCCCTGACTTTCCCATGCCCGACTCTACAAGTCAAACCCCTGGACTCGCGCCGCCGAGGAGAAGTGTCGGGCTTGGCCCACCACCATCGTCAAGGAGAGGAGACTCATCGTTCTATTCGAACGCCTCATTCGTCTCGCCGATCCCCGAAGAAAGCCCTCGCTCACGGTCCCATGGGTCCTATGCTTCGAGTGCTGCAATCCCCGAAAGCTGGGGCACAGAATCGCCAGAACCTAGCCCGGCCTATCAAGACAGATTCTTCGAAGATCCAATCACCGAAGAGGAGAGCTTCAGATCACAGGATGACGATGGTGATGAAAGCAAACTTGTGAGGAGCGCCAGCATCGGCAAACGAGGCAAGCCTGCCATTGTCATGAACCGCGGCGTCGGCGGAGAGTCATCCATGCCCGCAGAGCCGTCGCCGGCTGCGTTGCGACCTGCGCCAACTCCCGTGCAGGGGCCCGGATACCCGTTCCAGACGGGCACCGGTTTTCTCGACGTCTCATCGAGTTCTTCGGGTGCTCTGCCCACTATCAAGGCGACGGGCCAGCCCTCCTCCGCTGACGGCAGATG